AAAAACTGGCAAGAAAATTACAAGACCAGCATTGGTGCCTGCCAATAGATGAATGGATGAAGAAAATCTGGTGTATATATACCTAATAGAATATCATTCTGCCAGAAAAATGGTTAGAGTATCCATAGTGTTAGAAACAAAGATCCTCCTGGTAAGAGCACTGTAGACTCAGTAGTAAAAAGGGGGCCTCTGATTTTGTGATTTTACAAAGTCAAGCATCAGCCCCAAATGGCAGATGAGCTGATGGGGGCAGAGAAGAGTTATAGTCCCAATGATCAGGAGGGTAAAGACTTCCGTGTCATCTGGGTCTCATCTCTCCCTATCCCCAGTGTTTATCTTTTTCTCAGCAAAAGCCACGTGGGTTCATCTCTGCACTCTACATCTTATGTATTTTAAACCTTATCAGGCTTGTGTCTTGCAACAAGCAAGCTTAGATGTTAGTAATTTTCCCTCTGAATTTTTAGTTTGGGTGGAGCAGCTTTCGCAGAGTTTGTGGTGGATGATAACTAGATCTCCAGCAGGGGTCAAGTGTTTTCTGTTCTTCTGTATTTGAACTCATGCTTCTGAAAATGAACCATCAGATTTGCTTACATAAAGAAACTTAAATTTATTTGTTTGTTTGTTTGTTTGTTTGTGTATGTAGGGTGTGTGTGTATGTATGCATATCTTTGCCGTGTGAACGTCAGAAGTTAACTTTTGGGAGTCAGTTCTTGCCTTCCACCTTATTGAGGCAGGGTTTCATTGTTTCTGCTGCCAGGCTAACTGACCCACCGGTGAGCTTCCAGGGACTTCCCATCTCACTACGGATGGATGCTACCTCATCACATTGAGGCCATTTTTAACTCTACTCTGAGATTGGAAGTCATTAGAGTATTTTGATTTATATTTTAATAGAATTGTTCTAGATGTAGAAAGGAAGATCAAACTCAGAAGAGCTTTAAGAGACTGTTTTGACTCGGTCTAGACTCACCCGAGAAATTAACGAAATTCTTTAGATTAAGTTGGCCTCTGTGCCAACTTCATCCATGAGCACTCCATCTACATCACCCGTGCTCTTTCTTCAACTCCTCCCTGCTCTCTCCACAGATATGTTCAGAGGCCCCGTTTCCTAGGTGATTTTAGTTCTTGTCAAGCTGACAATTAACATTAATCATCAGAGTGTCTCTTTTTCTCCCCTTCTAGAAGCTAGAATCGCATGAAAGAGTTAGCTAGAACTGGGGGTGTAGCACAGTGGTAGACCACCTGCTTAACATCCATAAAGCCTTGGGTTTGATTCCCAGACCCAACACAGATGAGACTGGGGGGGGGGGGACTAGCTCGTTAGACTGTCGTGTCCTTGTGCTCCACTCCCGTCCTGCCATGTTGCCTACACAGCCTCGTGGCATTTGGGAAGCTTCCTACAGAGTCTGATAAAGAACCATATCTCAAAGCAAACAAACTTGTTTGACCTTATGAGAATTTCAAGCTCATTTTTCCTGTTGACGTTGCCAGCATTATCAGGATTGCATTACATGTCAAATTTTTCCTCTTGTCAGAATAGAAATGTTGTCTCCTTCTTGCGCCATCTGTTTTACACTAATGGTTTTGATTAATTTTTCCTCTCCCTGGCACGTGTTAGTGGTGCAGATGCATGCTTTATATTTCCTTTTATTGGTCTGTAGTTTTATTGCATACATTAGTGGCACAAATAGCAGGTTCATTTTGGCTATTTCTACTAACTGTTTCTAGTTTGGGGATTAGTAATCTACTTTGCTTATGTTTTTAATGTGGTGAGAAGCTCTACATCATAGGCAGTTTAAATGATGACATTCCACTTAATTTTACTACCTCTAATTTTTTCTTGCAATTTTTGTTTTTATGGTATTTTACTATGTGTATCTGTATGTTTTGATGATTTCAAGTTTCCTAATTGACATTTCTTTAGTGAGTTGGTTTCTAATCAACAGTTTCTGTAGCTACGGGAAAACAATATCAGTTCCAAATGTTGTGGATTTAAATAGTAGTAACCTTGACAGCCCACTTGTGATTGCTGCTCTAGCCTTTTTATTTTTGAGGTTTGGAAGCTTGAAAGATAGCTGGTGAGAGGGTGAGGTGCAGTGACGGGAGAAACTGAAGCTTCCTGAGGTGGGAAGGTAGAAAAAACACAGAGCTGTTTTTTGAAATAAGGATGGGTATTATTTTATTTTTTTATCTGATTTTAGTGGTTGCTATATTTGAAAAACAAGCCCATTGCAGGAATCCAGTGAATATAAGCCAAACATTAAATGTTAGAGTCTGTTGTTGTTAGTGTTGGCCTGATACACCAAATTTTGACTCACAGTGGGACATCCAGATCCAGTGAGAGATGGATGTCAGTCAGACTTGCAGCTTTTGCAAACTGAGGATCCTTACTCTTAGAGAGCAGCAGGAGATATTCTAAGCATTCCTTCCTATCAAGTGGTAGAATTGAGAGGTTACTTGTTGACTAATGAAAGTTCCTAGTTTCTGCTGTTAGAACTAATAGGATTAACAATCTAAAATAGAGTAAGTTGAACACAGGAAAGTAATTTAATAATTGTTACTGGCTTCATTTTTTTAAGGAAGTAAAGGCACCTGTTTAACAAAGCAGTTCTACAATCCTAACTAATTATATATGTGTGTGTATGTATGTGTAATATATTTTTTATATAAAATACTCTTAGAAACAGTAATATACTAGCTTTGGTTCTCTTCAGTTTTGATCAATAAAACAAGCCCTTTAAATTATAGACTGTATCATGTGTGGTGCCCTGGGTTCTATCCCTAGCACTGGGGACAAAAAAGCCCAGTTTCCCATCTATAATCCTAGCACTCAGGAGGCAGAGTCAGGAGCATTCAGAACCAGCTAAACTGTAGCAAGTTCTAGGCCAACTTTAACTACATAGTGAGACTCTCAAATACAGAATGGCTACCCCACTGTTTGCATATCTGTAATGATGAGAGACAAGACAGTTTAACTTTAATGATGTGTATAAATATGCTGTGTGGTTCTTCTTTTTCATAGACAATAGCATAATTTTTTACTTCCTGCTACAAAATGTAGGAGACACTGCATTTAAAAAAAATCATGTTTAGAAACATCTAGATCTTTGCAAGAAACTCATAATTAAGTCTGAGCCTGACTTTCACCCTTCACCAATGCAATCTAAGTGTGTTTTTTCAGTAACCTTAATTTGGGCCTTTCAATTTGAGGGTTGCTTTCTTATTCAATTTAGACCATGAAACAATATTTTAATTATAGGAATTAAGCTATTTATAATTTTCACAACAGGAAGATGAGCAAATTGCGTTTCTTCTAGGTTATAATTTATTATCTTGCTCTCAGAAATGTGTGATCTTTGTGTCTAACAATGCACTTATTTATCGCCCATAGCCATATCAAATCTGGCATTTTGAGGCGTTCGTCCACAGAGCGAGTCTGTGGAGTGAATGATGGAACAGTGACTGAGAGCGATGCCAAGCAGGGTCAGCTTGGGTTCTGTCTTAGCTCCGTCTAGCATGCTCCCCTAAGTCGAAGTGCTCCCAGAGCTTTTACCCCTGTGGTAATTTCATGCTTTTGCTGGGAAAGAGTTGTTGATGATACTAGTTAATATCAAAGTCATAAGTCATTTATGAGCTGCTTTAGAACATCTACAGATGGAACTACGTTTTCCAAATACTGTACCACCCCACTGTTCTGCAGCCAGCCTCCCTTTGGCTTCTTCTTACTGTGAGTGATTGTGTGGCTGGAAGCCTGGCATCCCAGATGCTCTGAATCACTTTTGGGTCATCGAGCTTTGGCCATGTCAATTTTAGAACTGTGTAACTGTAGACAAGCTGAGTTCTTTCAACCTTCCATTTTAGCTATATGCTGATATGGGTGTGTGCATGTGTGCAAAGACCAGAGGCTGGTCTCAGGTATGGTTCCTTAGGACACGGTCTTTCGCTGTCCCGGAGCTCTTGGATTAGGCTAGGGTGGTGAGCTATTGAGTCTTGGTGCTGGGATTACCGCACATCCCCATACCTGGATTGTGTTTCTGTGCTCAGGTGTTGAACTTGTACGGCAGCCTGAGCTGCTTCCCCAGCCCACACATGTTCTAGTGTGCTATTGTCACAGATAAATATCAGTCACTGTGGCCTGTGGCATATTACCTCAAAGGAAGACACAAAGCAGGCCTGGCCCTAGGCCCTAGACCCTAGACCTGCTTTAGCCTTTTACATATTGATAATTTAAGAGAATTTTGGAGAACAAAAGTTTCTCTCCTTTACAAATGGTTTGACAATGAAGAAGCCTTTGAAAAGAGCCCTTAAAATTGTAAGCCTGCTGAAGTGTAACTCTTCACAATTGATAGATTTTGGTGGGGGTGGGGGTCAGGGAGGACTCAGTTATCTTTAAGGGTATGCCCATGGAGGTTTGACCATGCTCTTTTGGAACATCTCCTCCTTCTCCCCCTCTTCCTCCTTCTTCTGAGGTCATAAGGCTGGGAGTGGAACTTAGAAGAATGGGAGCAAGAATGATCAGGGTGTATTGTGTGAGATTCTCAAATAATCAATAAAAATATTGTGTTGGAGAGAGAGAGAGAGAGACAGAGAGACAGAGAGAGAGAGACTGACTCTGTTAGAACTTTTATCGTTGCCTTCTCCAGCCCCGGCATTCCATAGAACTCTACAAAGGATGCAGAGCACACAACTCTTTGGTGGTACAACCAGATTAAGACCTGTTGTATTTACAATTTGACTAATAGTCTTTATGGTATCCTAGTTATACATTGTTATCAGAATCTAAGCGTATTCAAAAACTGCCACAGTGTGTCTGGTAATGATAACACCTGCACCCAATGTGTTCTGCATTAAGATTATTTATAGTGTTTCTAAGCAAAGTTTTTTATAACAAAAACTTTTTTCATTACCCAAGCAAAATGTTGGCTTCTTAAAATTATAAATTTGGAATGTTCCTGGACTAAACTAGTTATGTATAAAAGGCTGTTCTTTTTTAATTTTAGGATCACCTGCTATTACCAGCTACCACCCATAACAAGACCACAAGACCAAAAATGTCAATTGTATTACCAGCAATAAACATAAATGGTAAGTTGAAATTTTGATTTGTCGACATGGGAGTCCTTTGCTTAACCAGTATTCTTTAGGTTAATGAGAGACATTTAAGATAGTCACTCAGACAAATTTATACATGTATTATTTTGGAAATAGTTTCCCACTTTTTTTAAAAAAAATATTAATTTTTTATTTCATTATTCTTTTTTTTAAACTATAATATTTCTTAAGATTTATTTTCATTTTTTTTTAAATTGTATGTATTACGGGAGGTTGCACAGGTGCCCACAAGGCCAGAAGCAGGGTGTTGGATCCCCTGGAGCTGGAGTTCTAAGACAGGGCACAGTGAAACCGGATCAACTGCTGCCTGCCTCTAGGAGGGCAGAGAACAGCAGGTGATGGGACAGGTTGCCATGGGAGGAGGGGTGCAGCCCAGAACAGCCTGGGATTTAGCATAGGGGCTTTGATCTGTAGCCTGCTCTTTGGCAACTAGATGCCCTTACCTGTGGTAGCTGACCCCTGGGGTTGACAAGGGAAGTAGTGACTTCCTGGTAAATGAAAATCTGCCTTAGGAGATTCCTAAAGAATGATGAGTGTAGGTTTCTGCTTACCCAGTAACAATCCTTCTATTTCCTGGGTCAGAATCCTTCTGTTTAGAACATTGTCATCAGCACTGCCATTTTAGGGGCCCACCTTGGACCTAACAGTAGTGAGCTACCTGACATGGGAGCTAGGAACCAAACTCAGGTCCTCTACGAGAGTAGTACATGCTCTTAACTTCGGAGCCATCTCTCCCCCAATTACTATACTTTTGAAAATAAAGAGTAGTTTTCTTTTATTTACATTTACAAGATTGGAGGAGCTAGCTTACTACTCTATAGACTTGCTGTTAAGAGTCATGTATCCATTATCCAAAACCCTTGATACATGCTGATGGTGATGCTATCAGTTATAGCTTTGTAACTTAAAATCATTTCGTGTTTTAACTTACTTAATATTGGTAAGATTCTAGATAAGCCATAAACAAGCCTGTTTATGTCCAATCTGAACGAACTTGATATTAATAAGATCACTGTTGTACTTGTTCTACCTACTAGTACTGGATGTTAAACTGACTAAAAATAATACTGATAGCTATTCAGGGACTATTCAAAGATGAGGAGGCCCAGTGTTTCTGCTTATAGTCTAGAGCAGCTCTCATCCGCCTAGTGCTGCGACCCCTAAATACCATCCTCCTGTTGTGGTGACTCCCAGCCATAAGATTATTTTGTTGCTACTTCATAACTGTATTTTTGCTACAGTTATGAATCATAATGTAAATATTTGATATGCAGATGGTCTTAGGCAATCCTTGTGAAAGGGTCATTCAGCCCTCTAAAGGGTCATGATCCACAGGTTGAGAACCACTGGTCTAGAAGGAGAACTTGTAGTAAAAAGGCTAGCTTTACACCCGAAATAATTACACGAAAACTGTATTCTTTTAATCACTGCCTGGCCCATTACCTCCAGCCTCTTATTGGCTAACTCTCACATATTGATTCAACCCATTTCTAATAATCTGTATCTCACCATGAGGTCGTGGTTTAAAGGGAAAGATTCAGCATGTCTGACCTGGCAGCTTCATGGCGGGCGGCTCTCTGCCTCTGCCTTCTTTCTCCCAGCATTCTGTTCTGTCTACTTTGCCTTTCTAAGCTACTGTCCTATCAAAAGCCGAGGCAGTTTCTTTATTAACCAATGAAAGTACACATAGACAGATGACCCTCCTCTATCAAGAACTAAGACAGGCACAGAAATCACTACATGTCAGAGACATTCCCATAGGTAATATTTGAATATTCAGCTCGTTAAAATACAGTTTATCTAGCAAAACGGTGTAATAGAACTTCTGATAAATTTTCTGTTTAGTGACCAGAACCTCAGAGTATATGAGGAAGATGGAATTGAAAGCTGTTTGATCTAGTCTGCAAGTGAACCAGACTATATTCTGATATAATCAAACTATCCTATCAAATTATCAAATTACCATAATTAAATTATCAAATACCACTATGAAATAAAACACTGAGTTTAGGATTAAACCTCGTAAAATGCCAGTAAAAGTCAGACATTTTTATTACATATCTGATATCATAAGGGGCTGTAGGATCTCCTGAACTGCATATAGACAACTTGGTTGAAATGCTTAGAGACAGCCTCTGGGTATACAGTAGAAAAGATGTCCGTATTACAGCGCAAATGTTAGGATACATCATTAGTCTCACAAAGACATTCAGAACCTGGGCCAGCAAGATGGCTCACTGGGTAAAGGTGCTTGCTGCCAAACTTGGTAATTCAGGAGTAGTTTGCTCCCTGCTGCTCACATGGTGAGGGAGAAAGCCTGCTTATCCAGACTGTCTTCTTCCTCCACATGCACACCTCTAGCGATATTCATGAGATAATCACACTGCTACTCGATGAAGGATAGCTGATCCAAATGGATTATGTTATACTCCTAAGACTGTATTTGTGAAATCTCACTTGTCCTTATCCCATAGCTACTTGAATTTCTTTTGCTTGAACTCTATGACTTTGGTCAGTTCATTTTCAGAGAAGCTGTTTTCTAAACATCACCCAGGCAGAACTGACTTGATTTTGTTCTTCTGAGATTGGGCTCTTATGCAATACAGTGCCTGGTTTTGTTTTATAGCAGTGAGCTGTCCATTTATAGCAAGCCAGAAACAATAAGATGCTGTTTGACTGTGTTTATCTTGGCCAGGGAACTAATTTTTAAAGATAAATCTTCCCTGGATTTGGGAAATACAATTGTTAGAAGATCATTTCCTTTTTAATCTGTTCCAGATTTTTGCAAATAGGTTCTGAGTATTTTTCCTTTTAAGATATCGTAAACTTAGAACATTTTAGATTAAAACTCAAGAACTACTGACAGAACACACTGCATGTTAAGTTTGGTGCCACTCCGCAGCCTTTTCTCAGAACAGTGCCTTCGCCCTTTTTCTGTGAGGCTATTTCTCAGGTTAGGGCTTATTTTGCTGTTAATCATCCTGAGAGCCTGCAGGGAGGTGGGTGGGGTCCTTGTTTATCACTGCTACAATGTACGTCTCCTCTCCTCCGTAGTCGCCCCACATCTCTCATTTGATAGCAGACTTAACCCCTCTAGCTCGTCTTTGGTGCAATCATCTGCTTATCTCCACCCGTGATGTGCAGCACCACCTCCCTCATCTCCGCATGGCAATGCAAAGCCGAGTTGTCCAGGGCTGTAGCCCTCTACATAACTAGTCAGATCTTATCACAGATAGCACTTTCCTTGAACTGCCTCCTCCAATCCCGGTCTTTGACCAGTATTTAGTTCCTTCCTTTAGTGTCTACACTCCAGCTGTTCTCCCTCACAGATCTCCAATCCTTTGACCCTGTCACCTTTCCTAAATCTATCTCGTCCTTTCTGGGCATACTGCTTCCTGATCTAGCCTAGATTCCATGGTTCCTTACTATCACAACTCTTGCAAATAACCCTGGATCCCTAGTCTCCTTTCTTTCTTCATAGCTTCTGCCTGCACAAAAAAATCCACCGTAGTTAAATCCAGCTCCTCTTTTTATGCCTGCTATCAGGCATTTGAAAATAAGTAGAAAATACCATCCAATCAAGTCAAATTGACTGACTTCAAGTTTATGACCAATGATTTCAGTGGGACATTCATTGCTTCTGCAAGTCCTTGCTAATGGATTCACTTTATTCTCTCTGAAGCAGGAATTCTTCTTATTTTTATTTCTCAAATCAATTCTCCATTATATCCATTTCCTAAACCCTCAGTTTATAAACTCACCAAGAGCTACACTGAAAAAAAAAATCGTACAAGAGCTGTGTCACATGTCCACTACCCCCAGCCCAGCTTCAGTTCCGCCTACAACCTCTGCCCTTCCTCTTGATGCACTGAAAAAAAAGTCTCCTCCTTTGGGTTCCAGATATGCTGCTTTACTGCGTGCCAGATACGCATGGTGGGGAAGTAAGTGAACTTCTCTGCCCTTCGGCTTTCTCAGAATGTTTGACAAAATGTATGTCCTGTCATTTCTGCGTTTAGAAAGTCATGTGCACTAGAAATAAAAGTGAGCTGTGGTTGATCCCGCTCTGACTAAATGTGCCTACAGAGTTGTGAGAGGGTGGTAAAGGACAGAAAGTAGAGACCAAGTTTACCGAGTAACTGGTTTCTATAGTTCACTAGATGGTGATTTTGGGGGAAAGGAATTTGATTTTCCAGCTTGAACAAACAGGTCGGTGTTTGATCTTAAATTATTATGAATGATGATTATACTTTGTCAGCTTGAGCTATGGAAAGGAAAATCTAAGAAACAGAAAGTAGAGTAAGAACATAAAATTTATGTCATGAGAAATTGCTGGTCACAGGCCAGTAAGATGATTCAGTGGTTGAGGATACTCGCTGCCAACTCTGGCAAACCAAGTTTGATCCTCAGACCCCTCATAATGGAAGACAGCCCTGCAGGCTGTCCTCTGACTGCCACATGTGTGCCACGGAGTGCACTCGCGCGCGCGCGCGCACACACACACACACACACACAGACGTGATTAAAAAGTTTAACAAAATCACCAGCAATATCATTTTTTTCTTCATTTTGTATTCTGTGTATTATTTAAATTTCCTTGTCTCTTACGAGAGTTGAAAATAGGTTAGTAAGCTGTAAGAAAGACTTTCTTAGCCTAAGGAGAACTTCTAGTGAAAACTAATTAAAATGAAGTAAGTGTTGCGTGTCTATTCCGATGGGCTTTAAGAACTGATTGCATAGTTGACAATGGATAGGAACTTAAAAGCTGTTGTTACTTTAAAGGAAAGTGATTGTAGACGTCCTTCTTTTAGAGCAGGTCCTGCTCTCAGATTATTTCCTGTATGTTATGGGAAAAGCGCAGGTTTCCTTCACGCTTGATAAATAATTCAACAAAGCAGAGTGTGGAGGCAGTCTTTCGTGGGAGCTACTTTGTAAGTGTCTCTCCTGGAGGAATGCAGCTGATATCAGCAGAAGCA